TGCAACATGCGAAAGGAAAAAATCATTGGTAAGCAAAATATGTTTGTTTTGGCAGTTCGTTTCTTTTCCAGCCGATTACGTTTTATACCAAAGTTTACGCGGTACAGAACAAATGTAAGAGCTCTTGGCCACTCGGTTCATATTATTTACTCATTAATAAAAGTGAATAGAAAAACCCGCTCAAGGTAACGAACTATACGGACTGAAAACAAACGACATCTTCAAGTCATATTTTAACTGCTCCCAATCTAAAGATTACTACAATGCCAAAATCAAGTCGTTTATGGTGTTTTTACGGCGTAACTGATATGATTTGAATGAGTTACACTAAAAGACGATTGAAGTCTTGACAGGTGTTTGATTGCCATGTTCCAGATCTGTAGGTTTCACTGCACATCCGACTCATGGATGAGGCGACGTTACCCAGGTTCATTATCGGATATTTCTTCGTAGTTGTTCGTCGTTCGCTTTTGCGTTAGTTCAATATTCTGAGTTCTTTACTTGGTTCCTGACATAAATACATTTTCATAGTTATATTGGACAACAGAAGAGTCACTGAATTTTTCTTAGACTTACACATGCAGTGTTTTGAAAGTAAGTTATCGACAGAAGAAGGTCTGGGCCTCCGAGAAACGAGAAGCTGGCTTGTTCTTATGCGTTGAATATTTATGTTATTCAGTATTTACTACAATGCATTCGATTCCATACAAAAATTATTTTAATTGTTGAAAATACTAGCAGTGACAACTTACTACATTAAACCTTGTTTCGAACGGGCCATAGTTTGCAAGCCTGGATGGTAAATCCGGACATTAACAAGGAAGAGGTTTTGGCAAAAATTTAGAAGTAACGAATAAAATTCCATGACTTGTTCCGGTAAATCGTTTCAGTTGCGCTTTAATTCTGATTACTTAATAATCATTATTAGCATTTTACAACACGGCAAACTTTCACTGACGTCACTGCGTTTGTAATAGTTTAATTATTTTAGGCAGATTTTTTCTACGGCCATGACACGGCAAAAAATATTCAATTTGCATGATTTTCCGACATCTTTTGATATCCAAAACATGATCAGAATATATATATGACAAAAAGCGAACCATTCTCTTCCCCAGCACTAACGAGTAGCCGACCACGTGACCAAAAGAAACGGAACGGCGTAATGGACCTTTTCGGCGATACGTCGGACTTTTGGAATTCTACTGTTTCAAATAGCTATTATGGGATGCCCGGAGGGGGAGGGGGGAATTAGCATGTATTCGCCCCCTAAGCATCCCATAATAGCTATTTGAAACAATCGAATTCAAACTGGCCGCCGTATGCCCGAAAAGGTCCATTGTCGATCATTCTGCGAAATCCTGGGAATTATCATCTGAAATTGACAAGCGAATTGGATAAAATCAAGCGATGTTTTGCAAGATTGAGCCGGATAACTGCTTCATTACGAATAGATTGCCATTGATTCGCCTTTACGGTTAGAAAAACTTTGTTTCAGAAGCTCACTGCAAGATATCGGACAAGCCTTGTTGAGTCACTTCCGAATATAAAAATCATATCGCGGTATATATGTTATGTGCAGATGACAGACAACAAAGTTCTCGTCACTTTCTAAACATATACACGATACGATACGATATGATACGATGCGATACGATACGATACGATACTTTATTTTACGTGGAGTTAAATAAAGTATTTTGCATGAACAATAAATCCATCCACGATGGCATGGCCATTCAGATTCGCTATAGACTACGACAGGTTTCTATTAAAACAAAGAAATAACACGTGATGGTATGTTTTTTTTCTTTTTTTTTTATCAGATAATTACTTGCGAGAGTAAACAACACACTTTCTGCAAGCGTTGTGTGACAACCTGTCTTGAGTCATACATGACAGCAAAGAATGCGAAAGGTGGATTGATAGCCGGGTTAACCTGTCCTTTGGAGGAAGCTTGTGGCTCGCGGCTTGAGTCATTCCTTCTACAAGACATTGTGGGTCAGCTTCCTAATGACCGAGGTGTTGTTGTTAAACAGCTCAGAGGGCGCAGAAACTCTGCTGTCACTTGCCAAAACCACCAATGTCCGTTCATGTTTTACCATCATGAGCGCACCGATTTTGAAGTTCTCTTCACAACGTGTCCCGGATGTCGTGAAGCCTACTGTCTCACGTGCAAGAGCCGCCTTAGCTCCCAGGGCTTTCGCGACCACATTTGTCCAATCAACGAAGATGACGAAATCACTGACAAGGACATTAGCCGAGGACTACTTGAAGCACTCACTGGGACTTTATCGATACCGTGTCCCAGCAAGCATTGCCAGTCGTCTGATCAGGACGAACATCTGGTAGCGAAAGAACCGGCGGATTGTAACGCCGTCAAGTGTGACAGATGTCGACGATTCTTCTGTTACATTTGCTTAAAAGACCTGGGCACGAAAAGGCAAGAAGCACACAACAGATTCCCGCACAGGTAACGGCTGATACCAGCATTCTAATTAATGTAGGCATTAGGAATTCCGATTAGAGGGCCTCAATGGGGTTAATAACCTTTTGATAGCTGCAAAAGGGGCCAAAAATTTAGCCTCAAGGCTTAAAAATTGGAAAATTTTAACCGTTAGTCGCATAAAATGTTAACCGTAAAATAAATTTAGCTACGAAAGTGAAAGTCTCAAGAGCTCTTGTCAAGACTTTTTGTGTTTTGTGGCTTGGTAATACAGGGAAAAGCTGAGAGAATCAATATCCTTATAATGGTACTTTTTTTCCATCCCGGAATGGTCCTAGGATCTTAAATATGTTTTACAGTGATTAACCATCCCGCCAATTGTAGTCCTAGAAGACATTTTGTAAAAGCAAACAGTTAAGATATTTTTCTGTTATGTTTCATCGTAGAAATATTAAGATGGCAGACGCTCCACGGTGTTGGCTTTTCGACGACGAGCAACAAGGTCAAACTGAAAGTGAAGCGCTGCAAATTCGACAAGTCATTGCTGTCATGGAATTCATGTCCTCACTTGCAATTAGCAACGAGAGAAAAGCAACTGTGCTGAATCAAAATCGTGAGTGGCTTGGGGAGGATAACTTTGCTTACTTGACAAAGAGGAACCACCTAAAGAGAAATGACAGATGCGTCTTCATGTAAACTTTAAAATTTGTGATCTTTATCTTTATCTTTACGCAGTAATCCAATGGAAACACGATTGATTGATTGATTGATTGATTGACGACTGTTTCTGTCAGGAGCCCATCACGAGGAGCGTGCAACTCCCATACTAAGCTTATGACACAGCATTTTTAAGACCCGTTCATTTTTAGGCTTCTTTTCCCGCGAAATAGATCAGTTCCGGTCTGTATGAGCGCGCATCGGTAAGGAAAAAAAATGGCAGTTTTTCTTTTTAATCTTCCTTTGAAATGATGACGTCAGTTAAAACTCAAGTCCGTGCTTGTGATTGGTCACTGAGGTTCCTGCGGGGGTCTGAATTCGCGGTAAATTCAAACTAAAAATAGATCAGTCTGTGAAAACGCCGTGACAGGAATATGGAGTAGTTGCACTCACCTAGCCATGGGCTCCTTTTTCTGTTTAACAATTTTCGCATGATGGGTAGAACGCGAAGTTTAAGGGGTGGACCATTTGACTTTTTAGAGGGGAGGGGTGGGTGATTTGGTACAGGCATGAATATTTTTTAAACCCTTACATACACTAGGGAATTTTTTTCTTGGGACTCGTGTATGCATGATATTTTTTTTTCTCCGTGTAACAAACTCTTTTTTAGGCTCACTGAACGTACGTAAATTTCTTTTTGGCCCCAGTGGTTGTGTTTGGTACAAGATATGCTGCCGGATATATATTGTTTTCAAAATAGCCTACACCTCCCATGAAAAATCAAATGGTCCAAAGCTAAAGAAACAAATGTACAGTATGTAAAAAGTGTGATGTAATTAGAAGATAATAAGTGCATAGACCAATTTCGATATATTAAAATTCAGACTAAGACAATAGACCTGAACACGAGGCTCTGGGCAATAACTACAGAGTTAGTGGGGTTTATTCCACAAAGCCTCGTGCTGAGGTCTATTGTTTTAGGCTGAATTTTGATATCTCTAAATTGGGCTGTTGCTTTCATAAGTTGCACTTCATCCAATTTGGTATCCAAAACATTGTTTAATCGTATCTCTGGCAAAATTCTCGATTGTGATTGGTTCTCAACTAGCCTTTTCAAGTAACTGACAAGCGATCACATGGGTGTTCAATTTCAGAATACGGATGCCTCCAGTTGAATACGCCATTCGTACGTCAATTGCATGCACTTTAAAGGCTTCGTTCTCAGTGTGTGTAAAACTTATGAAGCAATACTACTGCATTGATTTTTCGCGTAAAAGAAGTTCTTAAAGACTTCCTAATCTAGAAGTTTGTCGCTGATGCAATGAATAATTAGACCTAGAGACGTACAATTTAGAGAGTAATTGTAATCTTAATTTTAAATCGCGGGCTCGCGCTACGAGCACACCATGGAGGAGATGTACTTCAATCGGTCTGATTGCTATTAAAAGTATTAATTTTGTATTTAATAAGTCTAAATTCTGAGAGAAACGTATACTCGGAAAAAA